TTCATTCTTTCTTTCTTTCTTTCTTTCCTTCCTTCCTTCCTTCCTTCCTTCCTTCCTTCCTTCCTTCTTCCCTCCCTCCCTCCTTTCTCCCTCCCTCCCTCTCTCTGTCCCTCCCTCTCTCTCTCTCCCTTTTTTTTTTGGTACTGGGAATCAAATTCATGACCTTGCACTTGCCAGGCAGGTGCTGTGCCAGTGAGCTATATCCTCGGTTTAAGAGTATTTTTTTCTTTTCCTGTCCTCTCAGTTGATTGCTTGATTCCCCCCTTTTTTCTTTTTGTACATCTTTGCAGTACATAATGATTATATTCCTTGTATAGAGTTCGTATGTATATACTATGTGACTTGCATCTGGATGTTCCTCCAAAGGCTCATGAGGTCATAGGTGCTCTTTTTCAGAAGTGCCTGAATCTAGGATGTATAATGCTGAGATTAAGAGTGTATGATTACTAAATTAGTCCACTGATTAGTTTGGCATAGTTCTGGGTGTGAGTGTTACCTGCCTTAAGGGTGGGTATCCTACACTGACTATAAAGGGACAGAAAGAAGCTGCTATTGTCACTTGTTGCTTGCTGCCTTCTGCTTGCCTGTGCTGTGTTGCCCTCTTCTATGCCACCTTGCCTTACAGCCAGCCAACTATGAACTGAAACCTCTGTAAACTGTGAGCTACAATGAACCTTTCCTTCTTTAACTTTGGGTGTTGGGTATTTTGTCTCAGCAATGAAAAAATTAAGACAATGTACATATCACATCTTCATTCTGTTTTTCATCGCTTTGCCTTCCCTCACTTCCCCTCCACCCATCTCTCAATCCCCTTCCTATTTGAGAAAGATCTATCTCCCTACTTCCTATTATATAACTTTTATTTTGTTCTCTTGTATGTTTTGGGCCTTTCACATAAGAGAAATCATGTGATATTTAAGCTCATGTATCTGATTTATTTTGCTTAACATGATGGATTTAGGTGCATCCATATTCCTGCAGATTACTTAAATTTGTCTTTCTTGATGGCAGAGTAGTATTCAATGTAAGAATATTATTAAAAGTCAATTTATTTTCCTTTTAGGAGCAGCCACTATATCCTGGCTACAATCCTAATTATTGGAATTCTGCTGCACGACCTAGGGCCCCATATCCAAGTACATATGCTGTGAGACCAGAGTTACAAGGCCAGGTATGGTTGCAAATTGGCAAGCTTTCTGAATTTTTTTTTAATGAACGTATTTACTTTCAGAACCTTTTTCCAGATATGAGACCTGCCCACTTTTTTCTTTTTTAGATTCCATATACAGTAGTTCTACACAATAGCTCATCGACTGTGAAACACCTTATGGAAAGAGTATTCCAAGCTGGGCAGTGAGATGGTGTGTAGTGTGACATTTGGAAGGATTTCTGTTAGCCTTTTTTGGTGGGGGGGGCTTCAAAGACGGTCTCATTTAGGTAACCCAAACTGGCCTCAAACTCACAGAGATACTGCTGCCTCAGCCTTCTGAGTGCTGGGATTGTAGGCATGTGCACCACCATGCCTGGCTTGTTGGACTTTTGACTGTCAAATCATGTCTATTTCATTTTCTGCTAGAGTAAGAGCAGCAGTTGTAATTACATTGAATTTTAAGAGTGTTAGTCTCTTGATTTCTTTTGGAATTCAGAATGAGACTTTCATGGAAGCTCAGATAAATAGGATGTTAAAGATTTTACTTAATTCTTATATATTATTCAGTGTCAGATTTCTTATGTTGCTGCTGGGTGTGGTGGCACACGCCTGTAATCCCAGCACTTGGGAGGCTGAGGCAGGAGGATGATTGCGAGTCAAGGCCAGCCTGGGCTACAAAGTGAGCTCAAGGCCTGAACTGCATAGTGAGACCATATCTCAAAAAGACAAAAAACAAAGCAAAACAAAAGTCAAACAGATTTCTTATGTTGCTATATCAACTGATATTTAAAATTATAACTTCTTGTTTCTTAAAGATTTCCTTGGGTACTGATGAAGTAGCTAGGGTCCTAGCAGGGCCCACTTGATTTCAGGCAAACCTGGGATTTCATATAACCTTTTTTTTGGTGGTGGTACTAAGGATTGAACCTAAGAAGTACCATGCTGCATCCCCAGCTCTTTCAAATTACTATTTTAAGGCAAGCATGTTGACACATGCCTGTAATCCCAGCACACTGGGCAGCTGAGGCAGGAGGATCACAAGTTTGAGTCCACCTGGGCAATTTAGCAACTTTACTACTGTGTCTCAAAGGGAGGGGATGGAGTGTTGGGGATTTATGTCATGTGAAAGCTCTGCAAAAACATAACAACAAAAACACTATTTTATTTTGAGACAGGGTCTCACTAAGTTGCCCAGGCTGTCCTCAAACTTGTGATCTCCTACCTTAGCCTGTTGAGTAGCTGGGATTACACTCATATGCCATCACCCGTGGATTATATAGCATAAACTTTTTTTAACTGTAAAAAGTCATATAACTTTATTATTAAATTTTTGAAAAGTAAAGAAAGCAGAAGAAACACCCTACTTGTGACATCTTACTATATTTATTAATATTTTGGAACATTTTAGCTTTTCTCAATTTGTAGTCACAACTTTATTCTTTTCTTATTTGAAATTTTATTTATCATATGCTCTTTCCATAGGTGCAATAACAGGAACTCTTTTTTATTTTTTATTTTTTTTGGTCTTTTTGAAACAGGGTCTCACTATGCAGTTCAGGCTGGCCTTGAGCTCACTTTGTAGCCCAGGCTGGTCTTGAACTCACAACGATCCTCCTGCCTCAGCCTTCCAAGTGCTGGGGTTACAGGTATGTGCTACCACACCTGGCTCAGTAACTCTTATTTTTAAAAACTTTTTTTTTGGAGACAGTCTCACTGTATATTTTAGGCCACCCTTGAACTCACTAGGCCTGAGTTTATAGTGATCATCCTGCCTCAGCTTCCCAAGTTCTGGGTTTATAGTCATGTGTCACCACACCCGATCCTTTTCTTTTTTTAACATTAAGGAAATTTTCAAACAACAGTAATGAGACTAGCATACTAAATGCCCTTGTCTCAGCTTCCTTGAGTATCAGTACTTGACACTTTGGTATTCATTTTTGGAATGTTCCTTGGAGTATTTTGAAGCAAATTCTGTTCTTCTTCTTCTTCTTCTTTTTTTTATTTTTTTTGATACCAGGAAGCAAACTCAGGACCTTGTACTTGCTAGGTAGGTGCTGTACATCTGAGTTATATCCCCAGCCCTTGAGGCAAATTCTGGATATCGTATTATATCGCTTGTAAATAAATCTAAGTATGTCTGTATAAAAGATAAGGTCATTTTAAGCCAGGCATGGTAGCCCATGGCTATAACCCCAGCACTCAGAAGGCAGAGGCAGGAGGATTGCCACAAGTTTGAGGCCATCTGAGGCTATAGAGTGAGTTCAAGGCCAGCCTGAATTACCCAGCAAGACCCTGTCTCAAAAAAATGTCATTTTGGGGTTGGGGATTTAGCTCAGTGGCAAAGCACCTGCCTGGCAAGCGCAAGGTCTTGAGTGTGGTTCCCGGTACCGGAGAAAAACCAAAAAAACCAAAAAAAAAAAAAAAAAGTCATTTTAAAAACAATACCATTATTTAAAAGGAAAAAAAACTAAACAGAATTAGTACCATTAATATCATCTAGTCAATTCCAACAGTAAACTTTTAAGACTCAATAAAGTTCTGCAGTGAATAGCCTGTAATCTGTATAATCATTCCATTGTTATAAGGCATTAAGTTGTTTGCATTTCTGTGTGATTATAAATACTGCTGTGATGAACAACTTCATACCAATGACTTTTTCTCTAGTTGGTTCATTTCTTTAGGAAATTGAATTATAGTACAAAAAGCTATATGGTGTTTTATGAAAGAGCTGTTTGTTCAGGCTGAAAACCTGTGGAACCTCTTAGGAGCCTCAGGAGCTTTAACAAAGAGGTGGCTCATTGCCCTTGTGCTTTTACTGTACCTGGTCCTGCACGGGACTCTGGTCATGTCAGTCCTTAATCTAAAGTGAGAAACATTGTGTTGTCTTGAGATAGAGTTGAGGACAAGAAAACTTGATTCTGTACTTTTACTATTTTTAAAAGGTGAGTTTAAAATTAATAGAAACCTTAAGACAGTCATTTAAATTGAGGGTTTAGCTTTACTCTTGTTGGATTAAACTGAGGATTCTGAGTCTGGATAGTGTTGTAAGCTGTAGGCATAGGGATGTAGCTCAGGTAGAGCATTATCCAACATATACAAGGCTCTTGGTTCACCCAGCACTGCAAAACAAAACAAAACAAAATATTAAAACCAAACAGCTCAAAACCCCACTGCAGTAAGCCGTGTGTGAGGAATTTGTCTCTGTTGCCTGTTGCTGGTATTATCTGGGAGGAAAGTGGCAGTACAGTGTGAAGAATATGGACTTCAGAGTCAGATCTGAGTTCACCCTTGATCTTGCTGTAGTAGTACCAGTAGCAGTGATAATGTAAATCACTACAATTTATCGAGCACACTGTGTACCAGAGACTATGCTTTATTTATGTCATCTTATTTAATTGTCACAATAACTCTGCAAGATAAGCATGTGATCTTCATTTTCCTGACAGCTGACCTATGGCAGAGCTGATAGTGTGGTCCTTTCTCCAGCCATTCTCCCAGACCGCCCGGGTCCTGTCCCTATCTGTGGGTATAGTTTTTCTGCTGCCAGGTGGAGTGCTAGGTAGAGTTAAGGAAAGGCCTGTGAAAAGCCCTGTGCTAGGACCATCATTCCATCTCTTCCTACTCTCCCACTATCACACGGCAAACTATGCAGTCACAACAGGAGCGCAGTGTAATGGCATAGGGTTTAAGCAGGGAAGAGAAAGAATGCTTTCAAGCTTGCCTAAGTACTTCATATTTTCATTGGTTACTGATGTCATTTCTTCTCAAAGTTTTCAAGGTTGGATGTGAAGGCAGGGCATTTCAGCTCATCAGCTCCTCTAGCTATTGCCTTTTTTCTCCTACTTTTGCTTTTTTTTTCAGAGTTTGAATTCTTATGCAAATGGAGCATATGGTCCACCATACCCGCCTGGTCCTGGGGCAAATGCTGCCTCCTACTCTGGGGCTTATTACACACCTGGCTACAGTCAGACTGGGTACTCTGCAGACGTTCCAGGCGCTTACCGTTCACCAGGCAGCAGTTCGAGCCCTGTCTCCCGTTGGATGTACACGCAGCAGGACTGTCAGAATGAAGTACCGCCTCTTAGGGCACAGGTTCCAGGATATCCTGCTTCACAGGTGAGCAGGTTTCTGTTGGGAAAAAATTCAGAATCTTTGCATCTTGAATTGTAAACAGTGGAGGGATATTTATTTATGCCATCTATGCTTTAGATGTTCAGAGATGTTTTTGCAGAGGTGAAAGCAAGGACAACTTTTGTTGTTGTTTTAAGACAGGGTCTCACTATGTACTTTAGGCTGGACTTGAACTCACTCTGTACCCAGGCGGGCCTCAGACTTGCAGTGATCCTCCTGCTGCTTCAGCATCCTGAGTGCTAGCATTATGGGTTTGCGCCACCACAGACTGGCAAGGACAGCTTTCATATTGATCCTTTTTTGTTACATCTGTTCCAATAACTGTATTTTGGCTGAAGACCTCTGAAAGATGTCATAATCAAAAAGTTTTTATAATGAAAGAAATCTTAACCTTTTTAAATTGCTAGGTTTATATTTTTAAATATTCTATGAATGTCATGTTTATTTCTGTGTTCATTTCAAGAGGAGTTCTAATATGTCTTTATTTTTGTTTTCTTGTAACATATGGGGCTATTTGTTTCTACCATCTATGGGACACTTCTTTATGCTCCTTCATCCATTGATCTATGTACTTTACTCATCCTATGTACTTTACTCATCCTGAGTTGGATTGTCACCAAGTCTTATCCTGGTTATCTCTGGAACCAGGTTTTTTCAGACTTGCAGAAGTTATGTTACTGGCATCTCAGAATTTGCCTATCTTAGGGGCTGGGGATATAGCTCAGCAGCACAAGTGCCTGCCTGGCAAGCGCGAGGTCCTGAGTTTGATTCCCAGTACCAAAAAAAAAAAAAAGAATCTGCCTATCCTAGAATAATGTCATTACTTCTCTAAGGTTTTTTTTGTTTTCTTTTGTTTTTGGTAATGGGAATCGAACTCAGGACCTCGCACTTGTCAGGCAGATGCTGTGCCACTGAGCTACACACCTGGCCCTTCTTTAAGTTTTGAAACAATGATAAACTGTTTCTTCCTCTTGATCTAGAACCCTGGAGTGACAGTGCCTCATTATCCTTATGGGGATGGTAATCGTAGTGTTCCACAATCAGGACCTACCGTTCGGCCACAGGAAGACACATGGGCTGCTCCTGGCGCTTATGGGATGGGCACCCGTTACCCCTGGCATTCGGCTGCACCTTCGGCACCACCTGGGAATCTCTACATGACTGAAAGTACTTCACCATGGCCTAGTAGTGGCTCTCCTCAGCTACCTCCTTCCTCACCACCGCAGCAGTCCAAGGTAGGAGACAGTCTAAATGTTGTTCCTTTCCTCTCTGGGGAGTTAAGAGAGCACAAGATAGAACTTCTCTGCCTTGATCTATGTAAAATGGAGACTAATTGCAAAAGGTTGGTGACTATTACCTGTATCTTTACCTTAGCTTATTTCTACCTCCCTTTTTTTTCTCCCCTCACACATTTTATTTTTAAGAGACATTTTAGGTTTACATCCTTATTGTTTGTTTTAAGACAAGGTCTTACGTGTAGTTCAGGCTGGTCTTGAACTCATTGTATATGCACTGTGTAGCCCAGGCTGGCCTCAAAGTTGTGGTGATCCTCCTGCCTCAGCCTCTGGAGTACTAAGATTACAGGTGTGTGCCAACACACCCAGCTCACATTCTTTTTTTTAACAGACAGAAAAATGCTCATTTGCTGTTTTCTGTGATGCAGTTTGACTATTAAATACAATCAAAGACTGTATTTTACCACCTTAGTCTGTAGACAGAAGACAAAACCCATGTGTCATATCTATAGTATCAGTTTGTATGTTCTAACTTTAAATGAAACCATAGACATGAATGTCATCTGCTAGTAGCTGCATTCCTTTTCACAATCTGTCTGAAGGGTTTGACTGTTTAGGGGGCAAACTACCTGATTTTCATCTATGAAGCCACTGGCTGGATTGTGAGGCGGTAAGATAGATTGTGAGGTGTTCATGACGATGACCTGCCTCAGGGTAGGTGGCAGCCATTGTTGGAATTCTCTGCCTTTTCTGTGACAGGGGATTCATGTCAGGTTCCTCTCAAATGATTAAAGAGGGAGGTCCAGTTTTATTGGTGAGGAATCTGATTTTCGTGTATCTTCCTGGTCAGGGGAAAGATGTGGACTAACAAATGTAATGTTGGTGGATTACTTAACACTATCCCCCCACTTAAACAACTTTCCCCTCATTTTGCTTTCCTGTTCCCAGGATTCCTCATACCCCTATAGCCCATCTGATCAAGGCATGAACCGGCAGAACTTGGGCTGCAGTGTCCATCAGTATGAGTCGCCGGGGACAGTGAATGATGATCATTCGGACCCTCTGGATTCCCAAGTGCAGTACAGTGCCGAGCCCCAGCTTTATGGCAACACTTCCAGTGAACAGCCCAGCAGTCAAGAGCAGAGTGAGAGTCTCCCTGAAGAGCGTTTACTTTCTGCTGAAAGTACTCCGCCAAGTATTAAAAAAATCATCCATGTGCTGGAGAAGGTCCAGTATCTGGAGCAGGAAGTAGAAGAATTTGTAGGAAAAAAGACAGACAAAGCATACTGGCTTCTGGAAGAAATGCTGACAAAGGAACTTTTAGAACTAGATTCTGTGGAAACTGGGGGCCAGGACTCTGTCCGGCAGGCCAGGAAAGAGGCTGTTTGCAAGATCCAGGCCATACTGGAAAAATTAGAAAAAAAAGGGTTATGAAAAGATTTAGAACGAATTAGAAGCCTGTTACTTGGCCAAAGAACTCTTGATTTTGGTTAGTTATTGATGTTTTGAAATACCTGTTGATGACAAGAAGCAATACATTCCAACTTTCTTTTGATCTGAAATTTGAAAAACTGGCAAAGGAATAGAAAAGTGTTTCAGATATGAGTCTTTCCGGTGTTCAGACGATGAATGTAATAGGAAACTGTGGAATTACCAGTATTGCCAAGTAGACTCACTTCTTCTTAAGAAATACATAGATATGTTTGCAAGCTGCTTCTTACCATCAGGAAAGAAAAATACTTTATGTAACAGGCTGTCAAGAACCTAGGAGAGGAAACTGGATATAATCTGAGACAAACAGGTTCTGTTTTTGTAAACATAAAAATAAGTTGTCACATTTTTGTACATGTGACTGCTTTGAGCTGAGCACTTCATGTGTAAATTACAGCTTAGACTTTAGCCTTCTTGGACCTCTGTTTTGTTTTGTTATTTGAGTTCACAAATATAGTATTATTCTGTACTTCGTACCTTTTGTAGTAATACGTTTAATATAATTATTCAAAAGACTATTGACAGACTATCTTGGCAATTCTGAATGAATTTATATCCTTTCACAACTTGAATATATTGTAATGTATAGTGAGTTCCTGAGATAAATTGTCTTCCTTTTTTTTATAATGAGGATTAGAAATCTTAGCATTTTGACTTTTTTCTTTTTTTTTTTTTTTTAAACCAGTACTAGGGATTAAACCCAGAACATGCTAGGCAAGCTCTTTACCACTGAGCTATATCCCCTGGCTCTTTTTATTTTTGAGTTAGGGTCTGGCTAAATTGCCCAGGTTGGCTTCAAACTTGGAGTCCTCCTGCCTCAGCCTCCAAAGTAGCTGAGATAAAGTCATATACCACCATGCCTGGCTACTCTTTCTACTTTTCATAGCAAACAAAAGGCACATTTGGAAATAGCATTGACATAGAAATGTCAGTGTATTTTGATAAAGATACACTTTTAAATTACCTTTATTTTTTTTAACAAAATATTACTATTGCTGCTTCTATAGATAACCATAGGGTATAGATGAAAAACAAATGCCACAGTGAGAGAAATGACTGTAAAAATAATAAATAAGATTATTTGATAATACTGTTCTCCATTCCAACTATTAGTTTCATCAGCCAAGATCCCTATGGTCAGATTTCAGCTCAGTTTATACTTAAAAGTGAGAATAGGAGATTCATGCTCAGGGAATGAATCAGCCATATCTAGAGTGGGAAATTGCTTTCTTCCTTTAAAGGTAAATTTTATGTTTACTTTGTAGAGTAAATTTCATAGACAGAATTGCCTGTTTCATAAAAGGTGTTAATTGCTATTAATAATAGTCATTTTAGAGCCAAATTTCAGAAAAGGGTTTTAAAAGGTCTCCAATGGCGTTGCTTGGGTAACACTATTCTGTCATATAGAATGGACTTAAATAACTACTTACCATTTACATCTAAGGTAAATTCAGATATACACTATCTGTTTTTGGAAAAACAGCTATTTCTTAATGAGATACCCAGGTGATAATTTTTCTTTTTCCTAGGGTGCCAGGCCTATTAGCTATATTAAATCTGTTAGCCATCTCCTCTACTCAAAATAAATCAAACCAGTAAAAACAGTAGATAATGAGAAGAAATGTAAGAATGTTGACTGGATCTTAGGTTGGGATAAGAGAGGGTTTGTTTTTTTTAAAGATAGAGTCTCCCTGTGTAGTTCAAGTTGGCCTTGAACTCACTGTGGAGCCCAGGCTGACCTTAAACTTGTGGCAATCCTCCTGCCTCAGCCTCCTGAGTGCTGGGGTTACAGGGGGATAAGTGAGTTTTGCTGGATAATGGGGTGGTAATTTTATTCTAGAATTTTTATTTTTGAGCTCATGTAGGAATGTTTTGTTTAAAAAAAGTTTTCTATGAAAATTAGAAAATTATACTTGAGAGTAAAACTTTAGAAGGGAGAAAAACTTAAAGCTAAGCTCCATGTGAGGCACTTGACTATTCTGGGGGGAACATTTCTATTTATCTTACTGAATGCCCAACATGCCAATTTTCATGAAGTCTTGATTTTTATATGAATATATATATGTATGTACAAATATATATGTTATGCACAAATATATATAGATGTGTGTATCTTTTTAAAGTTATTTTTAAAGCTTTTAATATGATTTTAGACTTACACAAAAGTTGTAAAATAGTAGAGTTCTTGTATACTATTCATTGACCTTATGTACATTTTACATCAGCCATAGAACATTTGTTAAATTAAGAAACTGACCTTGCTTCAGTACAGCACTACTAACTAGAGAGTTAAAAGTAGAGATTTTATTAGGCTTTTTACTAATGTTCTCTTATTGTCTCAGGATCCAATCTGGGGTCTCATTTTGCCTTCCCCTGTCGTGTCTCTGGTTTCTTCTGGTCTGTGACAGTGTGTCCTAGTTGGCTGATGCTGTATTTCTGGTGTTGTGAAATCAATTACTCTGCTAAGGTGGTGTCTGCTAGGATTCTCTACTGTATATTACTGTTTTCCTTTGTAATTAGTAAATATTTACTAGAGATACTTTGAGACTATGCAAATGTCCTATTTCTGCTTAAACTTTTGCCAATTCTTGTATGTACTATTCACTGGCAGACCTTGCTTGTAGCAGTTACTGCTGTGGTGGTCTATTGGTGATTTTCTCCTTTTCTCATTTCTTCTATATTTAATAATTGGAATTTTTCTGTGATGAAGAGTGGTCACAACTAGATTTATATTTTCAGTTATAATAAGATATTCAGGATAGCTATAAACTTAGAATTTAAAGATATAAACTGTCTTAAAACAATCCTAAATACTAGAATCAGAGGACTGCATTGGTAACCTGTCTCAGAAAATACAATGAAGTTACAAAGGAAAATAGTATTTATGATTTGTGGAATTGTTTTGACTTTTCACTTAATGTTGACTTGAGAGTGAAATTTAAAATTTTCTTGAAATTTCACATTTGGACTAAAAGTGTCTAAATTTATATTATTTAGCGGATCATTTTTGTCAAAATCTTGAATAAAGTTACCCAGACGTAGCATGATAAACACAGCTATACTTTCTTTATAGTAAACCACTATTGTCCCAAATAATAAACATCAATATAAATATTTAAATAAGTCAGCCCTAATGAGGTATTGGTGGCATTGGTTATACTTGTGTCTATATGTTGGTGTAGAATTCTTTTATTTATTTTTCTTTTTTCTTTTTTTTTTTTTTTTTGGTACCTGGAATCGAACTCAGGACCTTGCACTTGTTAGGCAGGCACTTGTGCCGCTGAGCTATATTCCCAGCCCCAGAATTCTTTTAAATGCTCTAAAAAATGAGGTTGGAGAGTAGTTCTCCGTCTAAATAATGTAAATAGTACTGTTCAAGCTAAGCATATTTTTAAAAACTTGAGTAGTACAGATTAATTGGCATTTTAAAAAATGTTTTGAGGAAATGTATAGTTGATGGAGCCTTTTATCTTTCCTAAAAAGTTAGTTTGCCATAATTCATGGAGGTTATGAGATTAACCAGTCAGGTCTGTGAAAAGCAGCATTCTTCTGATTCCCACGCCTAGTTTTCTTGTTTTGAAAGCAACTGCTTTCAAATGTAAAACACATTTTAAAATGTGTGTTCGTATTTTTAAATAGCACAATTATGTTGCTTTTTCTTGACTTACCAATTTTAGGTCTTTTCTACTGATTTTGTACTCCAAAGGATGAGAATTTGGGTTTACCTCTTGGCCTGTACCACTCATACATCTCAGCCTGTCCTCCGCCCTACTTCTCAGTGTGGTGACATAGTCACTTCTGTGTAAATGCTAACCAGAGCTCTGCCATGTAATAAACTGTGATTTCTTTTCCTGAAGAACTCTTTGTATTCTTTGTACTTAATCATTTGTCTTCTTCATTCTGTTTGCTTATGTACTTATGACTAGTTTGACCTCATACCCTCTATCAGTTGTCTGAATCTTCTCTCAAGATGCTCAGATGTGTATTGTATCAAACTCCTTAAGACGTATTCCTAGAACTTTCCCAGTAGAACTGGTATGTTCCTGGTGCAGACAGTTACCCTGGAATCTTTCTTCACTTACGCTGGTGATTCCCTTTCCCTCATCTTTTCTTTTCTTTTTGGAACAGGGTCTCACTGTGTAGTCCAGGCTAGCCTCAAAATTGCCACAGTTCTCTGGCCTCAGCCTCTTGAAATTGCTGGGATTACAGGAATGCACCACCACTCCTGGCTTGCTTTTTTTTTTTTTTGGAGACAGGATCTTGCTGTGCAGTTCAGACTGTCCTCGAGCTCCAGGGGATCCTCATGCATCAGCACCCCAAGAGCTGAGATCCCAGGTGTGTGCTGCCACATCAGCTTTTTACATTTTTTCTATTTTAATTTCTTTTCTTTTCTTTTTTTTTTTTTTCTTTTGTGGCACTATGCTGGGGATTGAACCTAAGACCTTTGCACTGAGGCACATCCCCAGTCCCTTTCTTATTTCTTAGTTTGAATCAGGGTCTTGCTAGATTGTCTAGGCTGGGCAATCCTCTTGCTTCAGCCTTGCAGTGTTAGGATTTCAGGCAAGCACTACGATGCCCAGGTGGGATTGTACTCCTTTTTAAAATTTATTTTATTTTATTTTGTGGTTGTAACATTTTACATCTCTGAGGATATTAGTGATGATTTTTTGATTTTTGTCTTTCTGCAGTAATAAATTTCTTCCAGAGTTGTTTTTTCCTTTCCTTTAAAGTCTCCATCTTGATCATGTGTTTCTCAGATGTCTGTTAGTTCTTCATTGTGTTTTTTTACAGTGTGATTTAACTATGTTCTTCTTTATTTCTTTTTAGTTTTGTAGTACCCCTTGTGGATCAAAGCCAGGGTTACTTACCACAAAACTATAACCTCAATCCTTTTGTTTTTTGAGACAGGTTCTTGCTAAATTTGCCCAGGGTGTCCTGGGACTTGTGATCCTCTTACTTCAGCCAGAACAGCTGGGATCCCAGGAGTGTGCATCACAGTTGGTGCTTCTCCCCGCTACCAGTCACATGCATCTGTGTATGTGCACGTCTCACAAACTCCAGCAAATGCTGTATTGCTGAACTATTTCCAGCCCTGATTTACTTGTTCTAATATTTCATTTGTGTGTGGTTGTTGGAGAGAGAGATATTTAAACTCTGAAGTCGAAAAGTATAGACTCTCTGGATAGTTCCCCCTTTTATGTGACAACAGAAGGGTTTCACACTATGTGTGCCTATTCCATCAGGAGTAGTGGTCATGATCAAATGTGAGGCAGAGTTACATGCCAGAGTTATGTGACAATTTACAGCCCTCTGGGATCAGGTGGATTTTCTCTCAGCCAGTCCTTAAATGTTCTTTTATTTTGCAATTATTTCATGTTGTAGGCTAAAGCCAAAAGTAGGATTTTCAGATAAAATACAGGATTCCTAGCTAAGTCTGAATTTCAGATAATCAATTTTTGATTGTGCGACTGAGACA